CATTAAGGCCCAAAGGGGACAGTGTTTTAAATTTGTAAATCCAGTAACTTTTGCGTTGTAAGAGTTTTTTTAATCAATGTCCCCTTATCTAGGGCCCAACTTAACTTTCTCTATCCCACTAAAACGTAGACCCTGTGCCGACCCACTGTGTTTCAATTTCAAATGACGTGAGATTGGTGTGTCGGTCTGTCTAGATGGATTTGCCGAGTTGATATGTTCTAGAATATGGTTTTTAAAGGGTTTTAACGTCTTGCCAACATATTTCATATTGCAGCTACAAGTCAGAAGAACTATTAATCCGGCTGTCTGACAGTTGAAAAAAGTTTTCACTGTGTGAGTCTCCGTATTGGCAGCGTTAGAAAAAGTTTTTGATTGTTTTTTAATATATTTACAAGCCTTGCAGCGGCCACATTGGAAGGTGCCTACTGCTGAAGACTTCAGCCACGACGAGGGGCTAGTAAGTGGAGGGAGGTGGCTTGGTACTAAGATATCTTTAAGGTTATGACCTCTCCTGGCCGTGAGGGAGACAAAAGGAGTCAAAACCTCCTTCAGGTGTTGGTCCTGGTACAAAACGTCTAGGCTCTTGCCTCTGTTGGTAGGGACATATCCTTGAGTATATTGAGGGTCTGTTTTGTATCCCTCAGATAGGAGGGAAGGGTCTTAACTAGATCCTGTAGGATGAACTCCACATATTCGCTGCAATTCTGCATGATTTTATTCCTACCTGAAACAATCGGTCTCCCCAACAGTGTTGCCTGTTGCTTATGGATTTTAGGTTAAACATAAAAGGTTGCTAAGGTAGGTTTTTATTGAATAAGAATCTGTATTCATCAGTAGTTATTAGTTTAGATTGGAGTGCCTCATCTAGAATAATCCGGAGTTCATTTAAAAAGTTAGGTGTTGGATCGTATTCAAGGTTGCGAAGGTATTTTTATTCATCTAAAATTCTTTGTACCATTTGGACATGAATAACTCTTACAATGTGAAAGTTACTGGATTTACAAATTTAAAACACCGTCCCCTTTGGGCCTTAATGAGGGGTTCTCTTACACGTCCTTCATCACTGAATAGACATTAAACGCCAGCAACTAATTAGCACGCATTTAGAGCGAGATCACTTTGTTTGTAAATAGTGTAAATATGTACAGTGTAAATATGTAAATATGTATAAGTAATTTACCCATTACTTATTGAGGTTATAGTACCTTCTGCTGACTCCTATTGGTGTGATTTGTACCTCTAGGACCAGTACGGTTAGATTCCGTCTGTAACGGCACGCCATGGCATAAAAGGGTTAAACCACTGTTTAGTAGATCTTCCCCTTCCAGAGACACAGGCACAGCTACTGTAGACACCAATCCACTGAACCGGAGAAGCATATGAATGCTGTAAACAGCCGAACCGGAACCATACGAATGCTGTAAACAGCCGAATAGGAAAAACCATATGAAAGGTTTACACTCCTAGCAGTCGAACTGGAACAGCATACAATAAATCTCCCCCAAGAACGAGACAAAGCTCCGTGTTGGGGGTCAAGCAGTGAACAGACAGAGCTGCGGGTTTATTGTTCTTATATACACATTAGTACCACCCACAGGGTTTGGAAAACAACCAATAAACACGTACAATACACTCAGACACTCCCACACAAAATCCTACCCTCTGCCTGTGATACAATTACCTTACACAATGGGTAATGTAATTATAACAGCCAGAGAAATACAGTTTTTCCACATTATTCATAACTTGAAAAGTATGCATCATATTCACATAAATTTTACTGTGGACACATTTTCAGGATCAGCATACTCCAAATACAAACATATGTCAAAATCATCCAAATTGGTCCATTGGTTCAAAAGATAGATCGAAGTCCTTTGTGACCAAATGAAGCATGGCTTTTCTGCCCAAAACCAGTTCCACAGAGTCTTCTATCCTGGAGATAATTGGGAAGTAATCCAATTATCTCCAAGGACAGAGGCAAAACTCCATTAAGCACATGGCAGTAAAAAGACAGTAAAATACAATAAAATACACAAGGTTACATTTATTACATAAAATACAGACATGCAACATATCCCCAGATACCTTAGGTCTGAGCACACATTATTACTGAATGGCGCTCAGCCCACACACATACAGTTCAATCGCCATGGAGCCAAAGTCTTTTATTACACGAATAGGCTCCATGGCATAGCTATCTGGGTTAAATGAGTTCATTCAGTAAATCAGAGAATCTACCGAACGCCAGGGCAGAAATACAGGAATAGACCTTTCTGCATAGGAAAATAAAGTATTTAAATGCTGGTCCATAGTCAAAAGGCAGGAGGCAGGCAACCAGGCTCCTCCAATGCACAGTGGCGAGATTGGTCTCGTCACACCTACCAATCCTGCTCATTGCAATTATTGATAAATTAGATAAACTAGGCAAGATAGCGATCTATGCACAGTTATTCCCCTTTTTTTAAGGTCCATGAATCTATATACTAGACATTTTCAATAACCTCAAAGGAGTAAGGTTTATTGAGTACCGGGAATATAGTCCAGCATATCTGGATTCATATGAATGGATCTGCTCTTCACTCACACAGCATGAACTGGCACGTATTACACAGTAACTATGTTACTGTATTGGGAATTAGAACAATCCTTTTATGGACCTTATCGGGATACCTAGGATTGATAGTGCCTTACTTATCTATATTTCTGCAGTCAGCAGGAATATTTATCATAAGTGCATAGACCCAATGGTGCATTTAATAAATTTAGAGCTCTCTAAGTACCATACAATTGTGATAGCTAATGGCACTGGATGGGTTAATGACTTTGTTATTAAGTCATAGAATTGTGCAGGTTTACTTATCACTAGCGAATCATCATGTTGGATTTATCCCATTATACAAATCGTCACGGTTGCAATACACTCAGCTATTGATGATTTTCTTTTACATATAAGAGTTTCATTACACATTGGCCGTTTTATGAAATACACACAATTTGAGCTGGATAGACGGCAGCTGTATAAATGAATATTACTGTGGGGTTAACCGATCGCAATCAACCACCGGATAAGGTATACACAAGATCATACCCCTAAAGAAGCTGCTGTCAGCACACCATGGGGTTAACAGCCGGTTTTACCGACTGTTGAGCGCATCTGTCCAGTGTGATTGGATCATTTGAAAGTCTCCTTTGCATATTGAGACTTTGGTAATTTGGCGCTCGTTGATGTACATCTGCGCATTACAGATTGGTCCACTCTGAATTCTCGGCAGAGGTACTACTACATATAAAAAGAAACCCTGAGGTCAGTTCAATTCTGGTCCCTGACGAAGGTGCACTATTAAGGCACCGAGACGTGCGTCAGGTTTTTTCCTTTCACTCATTTCTCACAGGGCACTATCACCATGTGCAGGTAACCAACATTCTAAGTATGGTTCCGCACATTAGCGCTATTTAATTTCTATATATGCTTTACCTCCTTATCAGTCTAATACTTTGCTTTAACTGTGGACGCTCTGAGGTCCATTAATAAGGAACAGGAAGGATTGCAGATATTCCATTCTATGTCTAACTATTTTTTGTAACACAGTCTACTAGTTACATTTAAGTGTGTGCTAAATGTTCAGTAGTTTAGGACTGGTACCCGAGGTCTGCTTTGAGTATACTCAATCATTATGTTCAGACATTGACCTTGCTAAATGACATTAAAGTCTGATGTCTGTTAGATTTGTATAGTAATACTCACAGACCAGGGATTTAGCAGGGTAGGGGAGTAATGGCTTTATTTGAATTCTTGAATTATTTCTGATGCTTAGGCAGGTGCACACATTATGTACATTTTTGCATCATAGTATTTTTTGATTTTACAAACATTTAGAATTACATTACATTTCCAGTTTTTACTCTGGCTTCTGGACTCTCCATCCAGCAGCTTGAGTAGATTTTTGTGGTTTATTTTTACGGCGTTGATCCTGCCGAACTATGATACACACAACTCTCCTCACCTCAGCATGTGATTGCAGCATCTGTAGCAGGGGTAAGAAATGTTTCTGAGTACAGAAACCAGTCCCCCCCCCCCCAGCATGCAGAAATAAAACTGTGTCTTCTCCCACCCACTCCCCATATGTATGTTAAAGTCAAGCCTGGGTCCTTAGTTGGGTCCCCCAGTAGCATAGTTATCCTTGACCCAAGGTGTAGCTTAGTAGTGGATGTTGGGCAGGCTGTGGGAGCTGCACATGCATCATACTCAGCAGTCCCGGCCCAAAGGGAGAACCCACATTAACACCACCTTATTTCCGGGTCCATGCGTCCTGCTCCCCACCCAAAACCCAAGGGAGTAATCTTCCTCAGAACGGCTTACTCATCACTACCACTAAACCCGTGAGGTGCGGAAGGAATCCGGGTAGGAGGGGAGGGGGGCAGATGAGTCCACCATCTCCATGTTGCTGTGTCCACAAGGCCCACGGCCAAGTCCAGGGGACGGGGCAGGACCAGAGGGAAAGCGCAGCCAGCCACCCCACCTATGCTCAACAACCCTTCCAAGGGCAACCATGTAACCCTTCCCATGCGGGATATGAAGAAAGTATATTCCTCTGCTCCAGCAGGGCCTCCCCACATCTCTCTTGCGGTCACGGGCGGCCCCCAATCTTTGGGCTTTCCTCTCGGCGCCTGTGGTGTCTCTGTAGGGCCACAGTCAGAGGCCGGAGGGCCCGTCTGGCGACCAGTGTGAGACTGGAGAGGTCTTGAAAGAGTGCGATCTCCGAGCCCTGGAACGGGATCATGTCTGTTAGTCTGTTAGCAGCTATCAGTTTCTCTTTAAGGCTGTAGGCATGGAGGCAACATAGGGCATCCTGGGATTTCCCATCCTGGCATTGTGGTCCCAGGGCCCGGTGGACCAGATTAAATTGAATGTCAACAGGACACCCCCTGCCCACTATCTGTCTGAAGAGGGCCCGGACTGTGTCTGGCAAGAGTGTGGAGTCGGGCTCTGGTAGGCCTTAAATCCTGATGTTTTGGCAGCGGCTGCAGTTTTTGAGGTGCAAGGTGAGGAGGAGGTTGCCCTTGTGGGTGAATGCAAGCCTGGCGGCTCTGTGCTGTGTATGGCTTGCTTGTGCCTCTGTTTCTAGGGCTTCCACCCTCACTTCCACCACGGTCAGGTCTGTGCGTAGGGCTGAGATCTCCTCCCGCACCGCAGCCCTTAACTCCTCCAGTAGGCCCCCCTTGTCCACCTTAGTGAGCATATGCTCCAAAATCATAGCCAATTCTTGCCTTATTTGGGCCAGTGCTTCATCTTGGGCACTCTCCTGCAGTGAGTCTGCTGCGCTTTCCATGCTCGGGGACATGGGTGCCATCTTGTCCAGCGGCCTAGCCCCTCGTAGTTCAGCCGGTGTGTCTGCGAGTGAAACCTGTCTGCGACGTTCTCTGGGTAGACAGCTTCTTAATACGAACCATTATGGCTTGGAATTCAGCTAAATGATCGCTGTTTTGTGGCCAATGGTGAGGAGCTCAAGCACTACATGCCCTGTCTCATGCTCAGTCTGGCCATGCCCGTAGTAGTTGACTTTTAAACTTCTTCAGGCCACTTTGAATGAGCATCCTCATCTAAGAATGAGCTACTAAATAAATGTGTCCATAAAGTGGACCTGTATTATCAATATGGATTATTGTCCAAGGTTTAGTTAGCCATGGCCAGTCTGAGAGGAATTCCTTGTCGAATTCTGCTGAGTCTGCACACAGGCATTGCAAGCAGCTACACAACAGATATTTGTATCCAACACATCAACTATAATCCCATTACCTTTGCCTAATTGTTACTATACCCCGATGTAAGCTGTGTAGTAAATTATGTGCTAATTTTACAACAAAGTATAATTTTTTACACAAGAACCCTAAAACAGACAGTCAGTGTTTCATCCTTATAAAATATGGCTGAAGGTCAGGTCAAACTAGTTTAGGCCAAACAAAACAAAAGACAGTCTCCTGCAACTTACAAGCCATCAGGCAATGCTGAGGTGGAGTTTCAATTCTTTGAGAAGATGCTGCTATATAGTATACCATTGAAAATCTTGAAAACATATCCACTATGATCACTGTGGCATCTTTATTTCATTGAGAAGTTGTGAGCTGCAAGTTGAAGTACATAACTTTGAAGTTGTGCTGCTGTTGTGCTAGAAATACTCTAATCGTGTATAATAAACAATAGTGGTTTATGATATGTTATCAGAGTAAATGGTCTGCCATAAGATCATAGTGGACAAGGAGCCTTGATTCCAGAACAAGTTGTTTAGAGCTTTCAAATGCCTTTGCGCACCATTCAGTCCAGGCCCACTGGTTTTTACCATCTAAAAGCCATGTGGTGGATTTTATAAATAAGCCAAATTATTTACAAATCTATGATAGTAATTTGGCAAACTAAAATAAGAACGTAGCTGGGACACATTGACATGGGTGTGGGTATGAACTAGAGTTTTAACCTTTTCCTTAATCATCTGGAGACTAGTCTATTATGTGGGAACTCACACATTTGTATGTTTACTTTTAATTCAAATTCCTGGCATAAAACAACTTCAAAATTCACTTTACGAATAGAATCACTTTTACCAGTGATAAGCATGGAAAAACTTGCCAGAATCTCATTCATCATCAATTGCTACACTGCAAGAGCTGGGGCAATTTCAAATTCCATGTATACTAAAAAAAAGTCATTTGTTACACCAATATCAGGTTATGAGGGAGGTGAAAAAAAATGATCTTCTTTGAAATATTTCTCATTCATTACTCTTCATTGGACTGAAGCACGAAACATTTAACTGTGATCATCTATATTGGCACTTTGAGGGAATATGGAGGATACGCAAAGGTACAGTATTATACATAGATTCATGGAGGCAAAGTTTCTCAAAGGATTTAAGTGTATTGAAACTTTTGTCCAGAAATTTAGATATGGTGTTTCGCAAGACCCAAGGAATAATTTAATACCATCCTGGTGCATTGTGTCCATGAAGTCACTATTACATTTAACAGTCTGATTCAAGCTTAATAAAGCTCTAAGTGTGCCATTTTTATTTTCAACTGGTCACATTCACTTCTTTAATTTTCTTTAAGCTCTACTTTTGTGAATTTAATACCCTATAGAGATTATATTTATCTCAATTTAACTTCTTTATTTTAGTTCTAATTTGATCACGCGTGAGATATGTCATCACTGTTCCGCTTTGCACATGGAAACCTTGTTCAGTGTTTAATAAATAAAACTATGCACTTGTAATTCACATGCCAACTATTTAGCATTTAGAATTATGTTAGATGTCTCATGCTGTTTTAATTAATCAAATGTCAAAGTTCTTAACACGTGTTTTGTGTTTCAGCATACTCACAGAGCTGTATTTGTATGTAAGTAATTTAAAAAAAATAAAAATAAAAAAAAAGACTTGTGAATGGTTGGATTTAATAAACTTGAGCTTTTCTCTTTAGCCTGCATTACTTTGTAAATATGTGGTGCTTTATGTTTTGCGTCATTGGAAGGTGACCTCGTATCTGATTATTATTAAGCAAAAATAGCCGTTGTTACCTTCTCTGGAGACATTTTAGAGTGGTTCTCTTGCAGTTCTATGCACATGGATGAATGTGAGAGATAGAATATGATGCCACATATGATACACATCACTCTGGCACATTACAAAGCATAGTAATATGAGAAAGAAATGAAAGATGTTTCTATCACCAGAGGAAGCTTACAAAGCCAATCTTGTTCACAGTGTGTCTGACAAATGCCTAATCAAGTAAGATCATCTGCCCTCTCCAACCAGATTATGATGCAGTACAATTCAACAGTGAGACCCCCCTGGATCAAAGTAGCAAAGCCATGAGGTCCAGGAGTTCAGAAATCACACATTCTTGATGTAGAATGTTAGAACAAATTAAGAGTATAATAGAATCATTAAAATATAGTATTTTAAAATATCTGTAAATTAGGGAAATATAATTGGGTAAGGAAGTTCAGCTTCCTAATGCTCCTTTTTACAAATTACACCTTTATCTGGACCACAAGTCAAATAAGTGCACTATATAAGGAGGTCTGAACTATCACTAAATAGCATTTTTACTTTCTTCATTAACCAATCTTGATGGGGTTTTTTTTTTTTTGCCTCTAGAATAAATGAAGGCTATTACAGTTTAATGGGTTCAAGGGAAAAGTCTACATGCAAAAGAAGCAGATTTCATTCTGGTGTTTTCTCTTTCAATGCATTTTATAGAGATAGACGAGGCATTTTAAGCACTAGACTTTTTCACAGCTTCCATTCTGAGCAGGTTTTCTTACTACACAGCAGACATTGTAGTAGTATTAAACAGATGCCAGTTTAAGTGTTTCCATTTAAAAAACAAAAACAAAAAAAAACAACTTTTTTTTGTATTTTACGTTTATTTTGAGGTTTTATTTAAACACTAAAAAAAAATTGCACGTATACGCCTTCATGTTTAACCCCTTAAGGACACATGACATGTGTGACATGTCGTGATTCCCTTTTATTCCAGAAGTTTGGTCCTTAAAGGGTTAAAGCCACACATAGTGCAATCAAAGTCTCATTAACCTCCTTGACAAAATGTGGTTAATAACTGGAATGTGGAAGAAGGTCTACTACTTAATGTATAATAGTTTTGGAAAAGTTGATATGATATGGAGCCCTTATTTGAAATAAGAGCACAGTTTGATTACTTTTCTCAAATATCAAATATGACATTGTTATGGTATTTAATGGACTTTTTTCTTCCTAAATCCATATTCCTACCATTATAGATGTGGACCTAGCATCTTTGATCAGGCTGAATAGAAGAAGCTTTCATATTAAGAGTAATGAACTACTTGTTTATTATTTTTTCTCTCAAACAGCATACAAACTCTTTGTGAACGCTCTAGGACTCACTAGCACAGTGATATCAATCTCTGGCCATCTTGATGTTGTTGAAATACAACTGTGCTAATTCTCTGCAGTCAAAGAGTGTGGGGAATTGTATGTTAACAGGTGATGCAAACCATTATTAAGCAGTATACCTAGGATGTATAAACTATAAACTGTGCTTTACACAAAAATCAAAGAATCAAGTGTTATTGAAATAAGTTTAGACATCACTAATGCTAAATATGTTCATCTTTGTTCATTTCTAAAAGACTCAAGAAATTACTTATTACACATGGAAAACAAAAACAAAAAAAGTTTAACGGATTGCTCTCATTCAAAGGCAAATATATTTAACCGTATCACAAATACGGTTCATACCCCAAGCCATGGCATAGGTCATTAACTGGCACATACTTAGTCAACTAAAATAGTTTAAATCTTTTTCTTCATAAGGTCCACTGAAACTTGTTGTGAACTTACTGGTACTTATATTGCTACCCACACTGTATACACACAGGGCCAGCACTACCAAAGCTCAGCATTGATGGCCACCTTATGACACTTCGGACTGGGGGTGCAATGTCTAGCTGATGGGCAGAAAGGGGGCACCAAGCACTGCCCATGAGTAAAAAAAAAAAACCCTCTTAAACCGTTGGGCAAATAACCCTACAGAAGTATTACCAGGCCTTAGGGTGTCCATAATTAAAAGCATTTAAGTATAATATAAAAGGTTAGAGAATAGTCAGAAACAGGCCTACATCAGGGTTGAAAACAGGATGATAAATGAGTGTACAAAGTCAAGGGCCAGGGATACCGGAATACAGGATAATTGCATGCTCGGGATATAAAGACCACGACAGGACAAGTAAATGATGTCAGAGAGACATGTAAATAGACATAGGTGTGTGTGGTGATAGGTAATGGAATAATTAGGGTATCTGGTCAAAAAATATAAAATGTGTTTTTTTAGCCCATAAGTAATTTGGGCTACTTTAACTTTTATATTTTGAAATAGGTAGGCTTAGCATCATAGGTTGATGTGTACGCCCCCTTACATGCATCTGGATGCTCATGCACAGTCAGCAGAATGTTGGGACATGGCATCAGAAGAGAGCCGGCATTGGTAGAGCTAAGAGAATCAGAGTGGCGAAGGCAGAGAGGATGTATGACACTCTGCTGCTGGTCACTCAATGTAGCTTAGCCTTCTAGACTTTATCATCTACCCATGCTAGGAGGAGCGAGCAACTTCCTGTCAGGCCAGATAAAGAGGGACTGAGGGGAAGTAATTAACACACAAAGGAGGTGTAGGGGTAAGAGATGCATAAAGGGGGTTATAAGAGACAACAAAAAGGGGAATAAGATAAACTAAAGAGGGTGTAAGGCACACAAAGGGGTAAAAGGTGAGATAAGGTAAACTAAAGTTTGGATAAGATACACAAAAAGGTGTAAGA